ATATAAACTAGAGAAGCAGCAGCAGTGATACTGTTAGTACTGATAACAGTCATCTGCTCTGGATATCTACAGTGAGTTCCATCATCTGTTGGACAAAAATCATATTTTAAATCTTTTTAATAAATATGATGGAGTAATTGGAGTCTACAGATATAACAACATTTTCATTAACTGTTTATAAATAAGTCATTTTTATACATACTCAAACATTTAAGAGGCTTAAAAAATAACTGGAAAGATTAACATAACTGTAAAAAGAAGCACAACTGTATGAAAATTATTTTTAACAGTATGAAGTATAAAGCCGTTGGACATCTCCAAACACTTTCCCCCTTCCTGGTTTCTTAGCTTTTTGCATATTTCTGCTGCTACTTCTCAGATTCTGAAGAAATTATTCAGCTTTATTATTTAAGATGTTAGACTGGACTGCTGACCTTTGACATGCAGCTGTACGTCTGTCAGTTTTCGTTCATTCCTTCCATTACTGATGGAGCAGGTGTAGTTGCCACTATCAGTCAGTTTGGGTTTTGTCAAAGTGAGGCTGAAGTCTTTCATTTCCAGACCATCAGGCCTCACTGATGTACGTCCACTGTAACGCTGGTTTCGCTCTTCAAGATTTGGACCTTCTTCTTCTTGCACATGGACAAATTTTGGATCAATATCATTGCGAGTCCACATCAACATAGGGTCCTCAGGCATGACACCTGTGTACTGGCAAGGCAGCAAGACGGAAAGTGCACCTTCATTCACCTCCACAACCACAGCAAAAACGTGCTGGAAAGCTGGAAGGACACACAAGGACAAAGAAAGTTTGCCCCAGCATGCAAAAGCTGGTCTCCAACACACAACTGCAGACACCAGAGAGACAAGTGTCACTCAAATACAACCTAAACACAAAGAAATGACCAGGTATCCATCCAACCATTTTCTGCGGGTTATCTGCAGAAAATGGCAGAGGTCTCGGTTCCTGGTCTGCCTACATTATTCTGTAAACTCAGCGGCATCTTCACTTCATTGCCTTTAAACTAAATTATTAAACTCTGCTTAAAATTAATGACTTACTTTTTACTGAGCAAGCAGTTAATCATACAAACATCAGTTAATGCACAAAAATGCTATTCTCTGACTATGTATGGTGTTACCAATTGTGAAGAAGGGCTGATACATAAACTACTGATTTTGAATATTTATCAGACACTAATAGACTTTTTTTGAACAAGAGATGAGAATAGGGAGATTTTGGGAATGCTACTATGCAAGTAAAACCAGTGGAAAGGGTTATGTGAAAAGGATATAGGACATATGGAACAGCCAACATTTAGACCAACAACGAAGTAACCAGAAGTTCTGCGTTCCAACATCTGGAAGAAGCAACTGCTATCACAGCTACTGGTAAGATAGAGCACAAGGATTGTGGAGAGGGGAAGCCTGGATGTCACGTGGCAGTGATCAATGAGATTTTTAGCTATAAGATGAACAGCCAAAAGTAGCAGTACCCTCCAGGTAGAAGGAGAGTAGAGCCCAAGATCCAGGCAGCAAGGAGGGAAGTTAGCCAACTATCTGAGCGGCAGAAGGGCATGATGAAAAAAGGGATGGCTTAGAAATACAGCAAGCTGCCCATACATGTGACAAGTAACCATCACTGTGGCAGGCAACCAGGAAAGGCTATCCAACATGAAGACTCAGAGAGCATCAAGCCTTGTCATGATTCATCCAGACACTCCCTGAGTGGCTGGCTAACTGAAGGCCAGACCGTCCCCAAGGATCACCAGAAGGGACTGGTCCCATCCAACTACCAGCCAATAACCTGCCTCAGTACTACATACTACATGGAAGCTCCTGTCAGGCATCATAGCGGCTAAGATGAACAGGCACATGGCTCAGTACATGAGCGGGCCACAGAAAGGGACTGGCAAGAATACCAGAGGACTGAAACACCAGCAGCTGGAAGATAGAGCAGTCATTCGAGACTGTAACACCAGAATGACAAACCTGTGCAAAACCTGGATTGACTACAAGAAAGCCTATGACTCAGTGCCCCACACTTTGATCCAGGAATGCCTACAACTGCACAAGATTAACAGGACCCTAAGAGTCTATGAGGAATTCAGTGGGAATGTGGCAAACAACACGAGAGGCCAACTTCAAGGAAATAATACAAGTTACCATCAAGTGTGGGATCTACCAAGGAGACGCTCTGTCCACTGGTGTTCTGCAAAGGCCTAAACTACCTCAGTGAGATCAGTGACAAGACACAAGACGGGCTGTGGATACCGACTACAGAGTGGAGCAATCATCAGCCACCTCCTCTACATGGATGACATCAAGCTGATGAAATATCTGTGATGAGTACAGCCTGGAAATCCCGAGGTCAAAATGGGAGACGACCCCAAGGGTGGTGGCGAATGACCAAGCTAAGATCCTCTGGGACTTCCAGGTACACGAAAAGCCTGAGAAGTACCAAGGGCTCAGAGAAGAGCTCGAGAAGATGTGGAGGGTGAAGGTAACAATGCTCCCAGTGGTAATAGAAGGAGTAGATCTGGTGACTCCCAAGCTAGGTGTGTGGCCCCAAGCAGATCCCAGGAACAACAGCGGAGATCTCTGTCCAGAAGAGCGCAGTCCTGGGAACAGCTAAGATACTGCGCAGGACCCTCAAGCTCCCAGGCCGCTGGTAGAGGATTCAGGCTTAAAGGACAAAGACTGCCTGCAGGGTGAGAGATCTGCACAACACACACAGCAGCTGATTGTAACATGAGCTCATCTGAAAGGCACCAAGAAGAATCCAGAGATTTGAAAGTTGCTGCTTTGGATTGTTAGTTTGATCTGAATCAGAATCCAGTGTTTGATGGAAATCTGCTCCTGCTGCACTTCAACACATTAAAGAGAGAGAGATGAAAGAAAAGCTGATGATGAGAGCAGAGAGAGGAAGGTGTACTTACCGTGCAGGAGGATCACAAACACCACAAACATCTTCATGTTTGATCACAGATCAAAGATCTCACACACAATGATGCAGATGTGACCCTCAGCAGCTGGATTTCCTCTCCATAGACGTGTTTCCATGCAGATCATGGACATAAAGCAGCTCCAGGATGAAGAGTGTGAAAGAACTTCTTCCACTACAGTATTCATTACAGCACTGTGGCACTCCACAAACCCTCACACTGTCTCAATCCCTGTTTCCAGTTTGACTGAGAGAAGGCCAGAAGCTCAGCCAATCACAGGACAGGAAGTGATCAGCTGACACAGCTGCAGGGATTTGAAGATTGACAGAAAGTTGATCAACAGGTGTGAAACTATGAGGAAACTCAACAGTCTGTCCTTTCTTAGGTGTTATCTGTGGCAGTCTGCCATGAGGCTTGGCTCCACACACTAAATCTGAAATGTAAAAACAAAACCGAGATTAAAAAAAACTGAAGAGTAAAACCTTTCAAACCTGTTCACTATGTGAGACTGAAATACACTGAAAGCTTTTCATTTATGTTTGGTTTAATCAGTGATGGCTACTGATATCTTGACTCCGTGGTTTCTTAAAGTTCCTTTAAGAAACCACGGAGTCATATGCAGTATGTACCTAACTATATTTTGTATGCATGCTGCAAGTAGTAGTAACCTATCATTGCACTCTGTAGGGTCCCAGGTTTCTGTTCCAGAGACACCTGGATGAGAATCAAACCCAACCAGTAGAAACCTTCAGTCTTCACATCAACTCAGGTGTTTTTGTGCGACACAGAAAATATGAACAGATGGTTTCTACATGCATGGTTCCCACCATGAAGCATAGAGGAGGAGGTAAGAAGCCTAGAAAAACATGAGAAGGTGTGTCCCAACATTTTACTCAGTGCTTTGCAATTGGCATAATTTGTGAAAGTTTAAATCTCTTCTCTATTGAAGAGCAGAAATGAATAGGTTCACACCTGTTGATGAACTTTGGCCGCCACAAAGTTCATCAACAGGTGTGAACCTATGAGGAAGCTCAACGACCTCCTCTTTCCTCAGAGGTGGTCTGTGGCAGTCTGCCATGTGCAGCTGCACAGACCCAGCGTGAGCTCTCTGAAAGCTGACCGGGACCTTTTTAAAGAAGTGTTATTTATAATTTAAAACATGAGAAATATATTCAAATGTCTGATAAAATAAGTATGACCTCATTTCAAACTGCAGCTATATTTCTTAAATTTTAAGAGCCAGTAAATGGTTATTGTGAAATGATAATATACAAAAATTAGAAATAAACTGTGAACAATGTTGATAGAAGTGTTCTGTGATGAATACAGCAGACAGTAACCCTTCTGTGTGCAGCGGTGCTCTGCTGTCCTGAGCAGACAGTAAACGCAGCATGCAGAGTCCTGTCTGTCCTCAGTGTGTCAGCACAGCTTCAGTTCAGTTTCATTAGTCATCCATTTATTTCTCTGTTACATTCATTTCAACATTTAAATCATTAGAAATGATTCTTCTTGTTCAACTAAATGAAAAGACGTGAAAATAAGAATTTCCAGGTTGGCCTCAGTTTCATCCTGATACTGACATCAGATAAATTCTACTTGTAGTTTCTGCTCCGTAGATTTTTGGTGGAGACTGAAGCTCATCAGATCCTGAGAGCAATCCAAGACATTTATTCAACCCTTAGAGGTGAAGGCTGTCACCATGGGAACCATAGATCTTAAATCTTAATGTTTAGAATAATGATTTTTATTTTAACAATCTCTGGGGAAATAAACGTTTCTCTGTTTAAAGCTGTAAATCTACTGCTGAGGAGAGTCCAGAGACATTTCCACAGATGTGTACAAATGTAATAATCAAAGAAGAATTTTATTATTTGACCATAATAATAAAAAAGAAATCAGAGAAAAATGAAACACCAGGTGATGATTTCAATATAAGACTGAATAACTTCCTGCTGCTGGTTTCGGGTGCACTGTGCAAAGCTCTTTGGAGCTGGAGGATAAAGAAACAGCTTCTGCACATGTGAGCAGCGTTATGGGCGAGTGTGGTCGTGACGCTGAGCCTGTGGGTGTCTGCAGAGACCCTCTCACTCACTCTGTTAATGAAGCCTTTGTCACCTGGAGCCCAGCAGACTGGAAACTAGAATCAGGTCTTTATCTGTGCGGAGGCGCGACGCGAGGTCATAAACATGAACACATACCTACCTTATTGTGACTGCCTGGATACTCAGTGAAGGAAACTTCTGCAAGAATAATCAGCGTGAAATAGTTTCCCTGTCATGTCCTGTCACAACGTTTCTAAATATTTCACACTAATTCTTAATCAGTTTCATGTACATTTATTGTCATCAGACTTTGAGATTTATCAGGTTCGATGATGTCACACGACACAGAAGAAACTGAAGCTGATTGGATCATAAATGACAGACAATTTTGTGCAAGATTTTCAAGATTTTAGCAGCAGGTCAGCTACTAGAAGAAGGCTGGTGGATAATAACCCGCAGCTGTTTTCTGAGCATCCACTGGAGTGTAACTGTTGGATATTTCCACAGCTAACCCATCATGAGAGAAAGTTGGAGATCCCCCCGTTTCTTTTTTATTTCTTTCATCCTTCCTTAAAGAGATAAAACAGTTCAGCACATATAGTATAGGACGCCAAACAAGCAGGAGGAGCGTTGGCTGAAGGACAGGAAGACAGATGTCTGCATTCTGTTTTCTGATGAGCAGGAGGAGGTGCAGGAAACACGCACAGCTGCCCTCACTCAACTGATGCTTGAGGTTAAAGTTAACACACTTCCAGCTCACGTGATCGCACACACCCTGTACACACACTTGTGAAATAAACCATTTCACATCTTTTTACAATAACTTTCAGCCTAGAAGTGGTTAAAAGTGACGGGAGTGATCCTGACACTCACGTGTGTGGCTGTAATCAGCCACACATGCATGTTTCCAGCTGGAAACACACACACACACACACACACACACACACACACTGTACCTCACACATCTACAGAAGGAGATGATGCCTTTGACACACAGCAGCACAGGCATGAACGTTTGTTCTAAACACAACAACATCTGCACACTGTGACATGTTTGACGTGTCAAACTCAGCTCCTCGTGTGTAACTGTCACAGTGGGAAAGAAGGCCTTATCACTGGCTGACAACCTACAGATGAAACCACACTCAGGTGCTCACAGATGACTTTCTACAAAAGCTTCTCTGTTGCTGTGCACACACACAAACAGCACTTTACACAACATCAGAGGAAGACGCTGCAGCTACAACAGGAAGTCCCTGAGACTCTGTGGGCTCAGAGTAAACACGATGTAGGCCTGATTAAAGCTGCAGAGCCCCAAACCTGATTAGGTTACCATGTTTGAAATCCTGCCACACTGCTGCCTGCTGCAGACACCACTGCTGCCACGCTGCCTTCTCATTATTCAACACTGCTGCTGCTGAGCTGGATGCTCGCAACAGAAACAATCTGCACCACCTGCAGGTAGACTTTAGGTGTTGTGCTTCTGCTGCATTATGGAAACCTGATGGTGACGCTGCTCGATGCTGCTGCTGTTTGTCAGAGTCCAGCTCACAACCCAGTTTCTGGTTTCCATGCCAGAGTAAACACGGCTGCTAAGCAACAGCTGAGCGGGAGGTGTCTCACACAGAGAGAAGTATGGCTGCACTCTCAGGATGGTGTTGTGTTTTTCTGCTTTGATAAACGTTTCCTTTCCCTTCGTGCTCATTGGCCTCGTGGGTGGATCATGTTTGGAGGCCTTCCCAACATCTAAACAAGATAATGCAGCAGTGCTGCCCGAGGTCGTTCCCAGATGAAACAGTCATCACGCAGGAGGAAGGAGAGAATCTCACACTGAAGCTGAGCCTGTGACCAGACTGGACTCTCACAGACAAATTCATGTTGTTGTTTACAGCTGTCTGCCAGCAGGAACACACACTGTGACAAAACTATGAAACTCTTTCTGCTGCACGTCTGTGTGCGTCCACCTGTTCTCCACTGTGCACAGTGTGTAAGTGTTGTGAGTGTAGCCCTCCACCTGCAGTAAAGACTGCAGCTGTCGTAGCAGAGACATCCTGTTTCCACTGAGTTTAGCTCTCAGCTACATGTTACTGGTGAGTCTATTTAGGAAATCTTCCCTTCAGTTTGACCTCTGCCCTTTGCCTACAGTACTGACATCAGTATCTACAGCAGGTGCTGGGGTTTGTTGCTGACCTTTGACCTGTAAATGAACGACTGTCAGTCTTTGCTCTCCCATCACTGATGGAGCAGGTGTAGTTGCTGCTGTCAGTCTGATGGTTTTCTCAGAGTGAGGCTGAATCTGTGTGATGTGTGACCATCGTAGCGCTGTGTTTCTCCTCTAAGATCATCTCCTCCTCCTCGTGCACAGATTTGGCATCAGCTGAAGAGTCCACATCACTGTGGCCTTCTAAAGCATGAAGCTGAGTACTTGCAGTCGTGTTTGTTCGTTATTACAAACACATTCCTCTGGACACAGACCAGCTGCAGACAGCTCTGCATCTGCTGACGTCTTTAGAAATAACTCTGAAGTCACTCTGACCTCTGTGAAATGTTTCAGTCTTTGTATTATAAATGCTGCTGGAGCTTCTACCCCCTTACAAACGAATCTCCTCTCTGGTAAATCAAAGTAAGGAAACACAAGGGAAGAAAAGAAATGAATAAAACAGCTTTTAGGAAAATGAAACAGCAGCCCAGTCTGTGTCCTCTGTGAGACCTTTGAAAAACAATGAAAATCTCTAAACATTCAGTCAAATGTGACCCAGAGTTCACAGGGTCAGACCTCAGCACTCTCTGTGTTCTGCATATTACTGATTAGAGATCAGCAGGTATGAACTCACCACCTACTGACCAATCAGCTCTGTGGAATAGCACCACTGTCTCTGGCAGATCTCTGTGCAGACAGTGGGAGGGTCTGAAGTCTTTGTTTCCCTGATGAGCTTCAGTAAGAAAGATTTTTAGACTTTAACAGTGTCACAACAAATCTGTTCCTATA